TCATCGTCAAACGCAACTCTTGTCAAGAAAAGGGGCTGTTAATAGCCTTTTTTCACAACCAAATGTGAAAAACTGTTTCGCATTGCAAATTCGATTTTGGCTACTGCAAGACCCATCAAACGCTCGATTCTCTAACAAGAACGAAGTTAAGAAATTAGGTTGCGGAGAAAATTCTCATCACTTATCTGCAATCAAATCTACTAGGATCGTTGAAGGCACCGTCCACCCAAACTGGAATTAATGGGATTTTGGTGTCATACGATGGAGGGGCCCCTAACAAGCATCGCCTGTCTCGTTGCAGAAGATGAGTTTATTTATTTTTATTTATTTGGTAAGGTCGACAGCAAACGATATCTTATGAGGAGAGAAGACATCCATAGTCGACCTGAGAAGTCTTGCTGCCTCACTATGTTTCCATTTTTATTGCAGGCCAACGAGCCTACGGCGGAGGCTAGCTGGCACTAAGAAAGTACAATACCGTCACATTTTTTGAAAGATAGACGCGAATGTACATACATGTCGCTACATGTCGCATGAGTGATGCTACATGTCGCATGTATGGACATCACACTCGCGTGGCCATATCTCGCTCCAGAGTGGACGAATTCTGAATCCAAAGCCACCATTCGATTCAGCTCGGCGCGAGAATCTTCTGATATATTGGAAGTGGAGGTACGATGTCTTCGATATTCCGTTTCCAGTTTTTTCAATTTGTTCTGCGGAGGTCCTTTCGCGAATATGTGAAGCAACGCCTACCCAACATAGAAGACTTTACTAAGTACTATTCGATAATACTGTTCTTGTAGATTATTGAGCGCTAAAGAATAGGCTACATCTTTCCAAAGGAGATAGAAGCGTTGGTGAATTTTGGAAAAATCACGCGTTTTTAAATTCTACTCGCCATAACTTCCTTCGGAACAAGTATATATTTAATCCGAAAACAGCGCCTTGCTCAGCTCATCAAGGCGAATCTTATGATTTACAGCATGTCCTTGATATTTCGATTTCAGTATTCTTGAATCTTTCTGCGGACGTATTTTGCGAAGGTGTAAAACACTGAGCATTGTCTCGAGCGAATTCCAGCAAGGACTTTGAATAGCACTTTTTCTGTAGATTATGATATGCTAAATAGTAGCCGCAGATTTCTATTCAAAGGAAATAGAACGGCTAGTAAATTGTGGACAAATCTTGTCGTCTCAAATTCTACTCGCCATAGCCGCAGGATACGAAGCTATCTTGCTAAGCAGATGTGAGTTTCGAAATCAGCAGGCCAGATAACCTCTATGAGCAAGTTTTTCAACATGTTCGGATTGTTTCATTTTTTTCTCGTTACGCTCTGGAAGCCCGCCGATGGATTTTGGTCAAAATGTTGATGCTCTTGAATTGTAAGAAAACTTCGCTCATAGAGGTTTTCAAACACTCTCTTTACGAAAATCGTGCTTTGAAGATTACAGGTTTTTTTTTGGAGAGATACGGTGAGGTGACTGTAACTGCATCACGAAAGTGTGTAACTTTGCCCGCACTTCTCGCGTATCTGTCAGAAATGCCTGCTTGCTTTTTTAAGTCAAAGTTACTAGGAACTGTGCTATCGAATGGTGCACGACTCAGGTTCTAGTCTATAAAAGTCGCCGAGTTACGAGCCTATGAATACACATCCTCGTGAATTTCGCACAAAATGTAAAGATCGCGTACTTCGTTGAATCCACCTTGACTGGTTGTATGACACGCTGGTTCAGTTCAATTCGCTAAATGATTCTTTCCGTATTGGCTTTGATAGTTAGACAGATCTGAGCTCTAGCTGCGAAACTGCTTTAATGTTCAATGCAGCTGAAGCACACCAAACCACCATATTCAAAACGGTGGGATTCCTTGGGCGAAGTAAACACAATATTTGCAATCAGAATGTCATACAACCACTCAAGGTGGAATTTCAACGAAGTACGCGATCTTTACATTTTGTGCGAAATTTATGAGGATGTGTTTTCGTAGCGTCGTAACTCGGCAATTTTCATAGACTGGGGCCTGAGTTATGCACCATTCGATAGCACAGTTCCTAGTAACTTTAACTTAAAGAACAAGCAGGTAAGTTTTCTGACAGTTACGCGAGAAGCGCAGGCAAATTCACGCACTTGCATGACTTAGTTACGGTTACTCCACCATATTTCTGTAAAAACACCCAATATTCCTCGAAGACCACGATTTTCGTAAAGAGCGTGTCCGAAAACCTCTGTAAGCAAAATTTCCTTGCAACTCGAGATCATCGACATTTTGACCAAAATCCACCGGCGAGCTTCAGAGGTAGAATGACAAAAAATGAAATAACCCGAAACATCTTGGAAAACTTGCTCATAAAGGTTACCCGACCCGCTGATTACGAAAATCACATCTGCTTAGCAAGAGAGCTTCATATTTTAGAGTTATGGTGAGAAAAACTTAGAAAAACACGATTTTCCCAAAATTCACCAGCCCTTCTATTTCCTTTGGAAAAAAGTGTACGGCTATTTCTTAGCGGCCCATAATCTACAGAAGAAGTACTATCGAAAAATTCTTTCTGGAATCTACTGGGGGCATACGCGCTGCTTTACATCTTTGCGAAGAGACGTTCGCAGAAAGTTTCAAGAACACTGAATACGAAATGTCAGGGACATTCTGTAGATCGTAAGATTCGCCTTGATGAGCTGAGCACAATGCTTCTTTTAGATTCAGAATATATTCACTCCAAAGAAAGTTACGGTGAGAATAATTTGGAAGCGTGATTTTTTTCAGAACTCACCAACGCTTCTGTCTCTTTTGGAAGGAAGTCTGCGGCTACTTGCTAGCGCACTATAATCTACAACAGCAGCACTATCGAATGGTACTTACTGTTATCTTTTATGTTGGATAGGAGCTGCGTTACATCCTTGGAAATGACCTCCGCGGAAGAATTTGTGAAAACTGGAAACGACATATAGAGGACATGATGTACGCTGCAAGATTTGTTTTGACGAGCTGAGCGCAATGCTGCTTTTGGATTTAGAATATATTCACTCCGAAGGAAGTTATGGTGCTGCGTAATTTGCGATATTTCGGGAATTTTGCGATATTTCCGGAATTTCGCGATTATGGGTGGTGTTGTGCATTGTACAGCACGCGCGGTATTCCACGATATGTGATTCGTATGCAATTCACCCATTCCCATCTGACATCCTGCAATTTGGGACCCGTCATACTTCGCCGAGAAGAGCCCAATTTTACACATATCCGAGCAGAATGAGCTCCTCAACTATACCTACCGTATTTCTGCAGTGCGCAACAGAATGTGGCCTCTGGAATCAGCACTCTGAATAATCCATTTACACTAAAATTCCAAGAAAAAAACCTATATTTCACGACCAGGCATCTCCCTATGCTGGAAGATGCCCTCGCCGAGCTGAGCTGAATGGTATTCTTAAATATGTTATAGAATCCATAGACTTTGAGTCAAGATAAGGTCTTTCGACGATTTCTCAAAAAGTTAGGCGGCGGCCACCGAAGTTAGGCGCCCGCCGCCTTACTTTGTTTCGTGACGCGGTGCTTGCCGCCTAACTGCGGCGGCCGCCGCTTAATTTCGGTGGCCGCCGCCTGAGTTAAGCGGCCGCCGCCAATTTTTTCACAAACGAGCGGTATTGTACATTAAAGTCAGATTTCAAACTATTCATCTTGAACACCCTCGTTGATGGGCGAAGCCAGCATGCCTCTTATACCTTCTATAGCGGTTTTCTCTATTCGCAATCAATTTTTTGCAACGAGACTTGGGTGGTGGCTTGCCCTCTCCATTATATGACATCAAAATCTCGTAAATCTCAATTTGGATAGACTGTCCCTTTAAGGTACAAAACCGGGAATGAGTACTTACAATTGAAGTCTCCAAGGTTGCATTGCCCATTCCACATTAGATGTTAACGGAAATACCTCTTGGCGCATTTTTTCTCAGTGTTGGCTATCAAAAAGGCAAGGCTTTTTTCCTTTTCCGGTGTTGAACTGGTGTCAGCCGCGCCCCTTTTTCTCAGTCCCGCATCACGCGAGTCCGATACTAGAGGGGCCTCGGCTGAACCGGCCGGCTCCGACTCCACTCAAAGGAATGTTTACAAAACGCGTATAATTTAAATACTTTACTACTCAAAACTATAAACTACAATTTTACTACTGGGAAGGGTGTCAAGATACTACCAAGATAATAACACTACGAGAGAGAGACTAGAGAGAGAGACTAATGAAAAATAAGAAGATAAAAAGTGGAAAAAGCATATCCGCCGTTTGCTCCGCTCATGGCAAAACGGCCAGGATATTTATACGGACAAAATTAATAAGGAGCCCTAAGCCACGACAATACAGAAACAATACAAAGACAATAACACATTATCTACGGAAACACGAAATTAAAATCTAATTTTGGCGATCAAGCTCGGTGATGTACTTTCCGAGCACTTCGGATGTTATGTTACATTTGCAGAGTAGACGGCTGCATTTGCAGAATAACACAATAGATCTTGCCATCGCTGCATCCAAATCTGCCAAGTGCAATCTGCCATCGCAATAGATTCGATTATCGATGCATCCGTGTCTGCCGCGTGAGAGCTGCCATCTTTCTTCCATATTTTAACGTGTCGTCTTACATCCTCACTGGCGGGATAAGCTGGCCCTGAGCCGATGCTACGAAGGCCTAGTGAATGCATGAACGAAGATAATGTGTAGAGACAAAGTAGTCAAACTGATGAGGTGGCTTTGGGCTCATTTTCAAAAGAAAAGAGAATTCGTAGCGAACAGGGGATTACTCATACAAAAGAAAACAACAAATATAATACAATGAAGACACAGTGGGTCCATGAGACGTCATGATGACGTCACACGGAGGTGATGACGTCATCGTTGTCCTTTGTTCGAGCGAGAAGATATTTCGACATAGTCTGATCAAGTCGAAGTGATGCAATATTCTAGTCAGTTTCGTCGCGTGATTCCCGTCGGCAGGTGAGATACTCGACTTCTAATCTTCTTCTTGATTAGTATCACACTGGTCATCATAGCGAGTGATAGAGCGGCTTCGTTTTCAGGATGTTCGTCGATCGTAGCTTCTGTGCTGCCCACTGTCACGATAATGGCATGTGCTGGCGCCATTCCAACGGCAGCCATTCCTGCGTCTGCTATGAACCATTGCCTGCAAACAAAAACTGTGGTCTGTCCCCCGAGCCCAAGAGCGAAACGCTGGGTTTCATTATTGGGCTAGGTGAGATAGTTTTTCTTTCCTTCTCGAAACTGGCTAGACTAAGAAAGTTTTCTTTCATTCGCGGCACTGGTATTGTTGGCGATCTTTATTTTCTTCTTTTGGCTCGATCACAAGAAGGCGTCGCCGGCCGCAAGTGGTATTGAAGCTCCGGAGGAGCCGCGGGCTCCGCGCGAGGAGACCACTCCCTCGGGCGCGGAGGCCTCCGCTCCTCCGGAGGAGTGAACACACTCCCTCTGTTGTTGCTGATGTTTTTTTTTGTGAGCTGCTCATTTTTTGTTTTTGTGTGGATTCCCGATAAAAAAAACCTGTTAGCCCAAAAAGTGCAAAAACACAATTCAAAAGAAATACCTTTATACATGTTATTTGCGAAACGGCTTCGTACGATTCATATGAATCGTACGAATCCGTTTGCCATTACGGAGGGTGATGTTAGGTGCATTAACTTCGATTATTTCGAACGGACCCTCAAACCGTTCAGAAATTTTCGATCCTACTTCTTTTCGAACAAGAACTGAGTCTCCAACTTTATAATCGCTAGGGTTTGCTCTTTGTCTGAGGTCGTATCGGTGTTTTTGAACAACCTGAGCAGACGCCAAATTCGCATGTACATGTTTCCAAACGTTCCTAAGAATCGAGGTTAGTTGTTCCGTATAGTCTTCCTCGTCGACGAATCGTCGTGCGGGAAGTGTTAGAGCCAAGCGAAAAGGGTTGTTTGGCTCCAACCCATGTACTAAGAAAAAGGGCGTGTGTTTGGTGACTGAGTTTTCACTAGCGTTGTACGCATGAGTGACCAAAAACATGATATCATCCCAAGTATCGTTGTATTGCATACTAGCAATTGCTATCAATTCTTCAAGGGTTCGGTTTGCGCGCTCAACCATACCATTGGATTGGTGATGATACGGAGTACTGGTCTTATGCTTGACTCCTAGTAAATTTAAGGTGTTTTTAAAAGTGTCACTCATGTAGTTAGCACCTTGATCTGTTACCAAAAGCTCCGGTGGGCCAAACCGGGCAACAAATCGTTGCAAAAACACATCGCAGGTGGTCGGCGCTTTTTGATCCGGAATGGGTTCAGCTACAATAAATTTCGAGAAAGAGTCCACGAAAACAATGATATTCTTGTTTCAACTGCTCTTCGAGTTCTCGTAGCTGTTCTTGTAGTTTTCTCCTCCGGATTCTTTCTGGGGTGCTGAATGGAGAAGAATACGGAGACTCAGTCTTCATTGCTTTCGATTTGGATCGTGTTATAGGTGCCAGCTGGAGAAAAAATAGAAGGGTTTTCTTTCTTGCACCAATTCCACCCTCAGCGTGGTCTCCTTCAAGTAATTCGAAGAAGGAAAAATAATGAAGGGGAGACCGCGCTGAGTTTGGTCTTATCACGACAAAATTCGAAAATAAAAGAATCCAACTACATATCTTCCAGTGCATCCAAGAGAAGATTTTCACTCATTAAGACTGAACACAAACATAAATTTTTATGCACGAATAACAAATTCAAAGAAGAAAATCTTTATTCAAGAGCATTTCTTTATGGCGCAACGACGGTTGATAGACATTAATTTTATTTTTTTTTCAAAAAGAGTTCTCAGAAATGAAAAAGACATTTATCAAAACCAAAAAGGGACACCGTCCTGCGCCAAAAAGAAAAGAAAAAAAAAGGAAAGAAATATATTATAAGAATCTTTATTAAGCTATTTCGAGCATCCAGAAAAACGTCAATACAACTTCTTCTATTCCGGTTCTTCTTCCATCCTTGCTCTTCTTCCATCTTCTTCCACTCATCTTCTTCCATTTTCGGGAAGGTGGCCATTGCCATTCTTTAGACGGTCCAGATGCGGGTCCCGCCGCCACGGATTCCCGGAGCTCTGAGGAGACCCGGGTCCGCGGGCGGTAGAGGCCCCCGGGCCTCCTCCGAGCCGAAGTGGACCGAGGGGTTTCGGCGGAACCCGCCACTCCGAAACGACCCCGGTCGTTGCGATTGATCTTCTTCTCGCTGCGCCCTTGTCGCCTCCTCCCATTCCTTCTGTTCTGGACTCTGTACCATTTTCTTTTTTGAAATAGCTGAATGGAAATTTTTCTCTTACACATGCACTGGAAGACTTGTTGACTATAAGAACTTATGACCAAAAAAAAAGGGGGGGGGGAACGGCGGATGTCAAATTTCTATTTTTATTGTTTTTCAATGGGGAGTGGCACCCCTAGGAGAGGTAGGGGGGGGGAAGGGGGGGGGCAAGAGAGAAATTAAAAAAAAAACAAAAATAGTTACTTAATCCATCTACTCTACTTTTTGATCAGCGCAACGAATCGAAAAAAAAGGATTGAGATTTACTTGGGCTGCGTCGCTGCGCCCCCGGCCGGGTTTATCAATTCCTTTTTTTTTTCTACCCCTCCTTAATATTTACTGATATTCTTGGATTATTCCGCAGCCCCAAAAAAAGGAGGGGGGGGGGAGAATCTTACAAAAAAAACATATACAACAAAATTTATACTACGGGGACAGGGGGGGGATAAAAAACGGGGGGGGGGTATTGGCCTCCTACCTCTCCTGGGGAAGCCGGAACCTCCATGTCAGCCGCGCCCCTTTTTCTCAGTCCCGCATCACGCGAGTCCGATACTAGAGGGGCCTCGGCTGAACCGGCCGGCTCCGACTCCACTCAAAGGAATGTTTACAAAACGCGTATAATTTAAATACTTTACTACTCAAAACTATAAACTACAATTTTACTACTGGGAAGGGTGTCAAGATACTACCAAGATAATAACACTACGAGAGAGAGACTAGAGAGAGAGACTAATGAAAAATAAGAAGATAAAAAGTGGAAAAAGCATATCCGCCGTTTGCTCCGCTCATGGCAAAACGGCCAGGATATTTATACGGACAAAATTAATAAGGAGCCCTAAGCCACGACAATACAGAAACAATACAAAGACAATAACACATTATCTACGGAAACACGAAATTAAAATCTAATTTTGGCGATCAAGCTCGGTGATGTACTTTCCGAGCACTTCGGATGTTATGTTACATTTGCAGAGTAGACGGCTGCATTTGCAGAATAACACAATAGATCTTGCCATCGCTGCATCCAAATCTGCCAAGTGCAATCTGCCATCGCAATAGATTCGATTATCGATGCATCCGTGTCTGCCGCGTGAGAGCTGCCATCTTTCTTCCATATTTTAACGTGTCGTCTTACACTGGATACAGACAAAATACCCTCTCAGTCAATGAAGCTGTTAGATAGCAAAATGCAGAAGCCTGGCTAACGCTAACGAATGTGACTGTATAATACTTGACAATTTCATCGAAAACTATTCGTAACCTTTTTCAGAATTTACAAGCAGCGACATCAGAGTTGAAATTATCGTTTTTAGACGAGTTTTTTCATACATATTAGGTCAACCCACAATTCTTGCACCACATTTTTTGCACCTCTTTTTCTGAAAAGTGCTTGGACAAACTGGTCATATTACACAATATGCTCTCTGTTATCTATATCGAAAGTAGTATTTTATAGTATACTAGCGGGTATGCCCGGCTTTGCCCGCACTGTAGGTTGCGTTTCGGCGTTTTTTTCTTTATCGTATAACACATGGCAGATATCTCCTGATCGTTTCTTTAAATTACCACATTTCCTTTACTATGGAATGAAAATGAGTTCTACCGCAGTGTTTGCACTTTAGTTGGAAGTGGTTGACAGTAATTAATAAGAGTTCATTCTTTAACTCAATGAATCGAGAAAAGAAGATGGAATTCGCCACAAAAAAGCCTACGGGGTGGACCGGTTTAGAAAACATCTGTGCAAAGTTTCGCGGTGTTCGGTCCACACACAAAACTTCCATAAAGAACACACTAAGTTACAATTTACCAATACTTTGCTTGAAGCCTTCGCCATATCAACATAAAAATCATCACGATGTGATTTGTGCAGTCGCACAATTGCAATACGCCCTATGCATGCCGGCAAATCCAGCATGTCGATCGTGCCAGCTGTCCGGCGCGACGGAACGCTGACTATGTTTTCCTAGGCCGTACCTATCCCAGCAATATCGCCGCGATTTGGGCGAAATTTTTGCGATATCGCTTCTTCAGTTTGAAATCAGTGACAGGGCGATATCGAGGAATTGAGTTTCTTTCCTGGACGTTTCTAGACAGCTTTTTTCCTTTTGACTTGTTTTTTTTACGGAGAGGTTAAAATATGATGCAGATTTCATAAATTGCATCTCTTTTTTGTAATGCCCGTCATGCTTCTAATTCGTGCAACTGGAGTAGATATCTGTATTTGTTCGAAACTTCTGGCTGAGTTACACGTATAGTCCTCTTACTGTTTACTCTTTTGATTCAACTGTTGCGCACTCAAGGTGGATTCAACGAAGTACGCGATCTTTACATTTTGTGCGAAATTCACGAGGATGTGTTTTCATAGGCTCGTAACTCGGCGACTTTTATAGACTAGAACCTGAGTCGTGCACCATTCGATAGCACAGTTCCTAGTAACTTTGACTTAAAAAAGCAAGCAGGCATTTCTGACAGATACGCGAGAAGTGCGGGCAAAGTTACACACTTTCGTGATGCAGTTACAGTCACCTCACCATATCTCTCCAAAAAGACCCTGTAATCCTCAAAGACCACGATTTTCGTAAAGAGCGTGTTCGAAAACCTTTATGAGCGAAGTTTCCTTACAATTCAAGAGCATCAACATTTTGACCAAAATCCATCGGCGAGCTTCCCGGAGCGTAAAACGAGAAAAAAAGAAATAACCCGAACATATCGGAAAACTTGCTCGTAGAGGATATGCGACTTGCTGATTTCGAAACTCACATCTGCTTAGCATGATAGCTTCGTATCCTGCGGCTATGGCGAGTAGAATTTAGGAAGTTTGGAATTTTGAAAATTTTGGAA